TTACATAAAGACTAAAAAACCAAATCAATTAAATAATAAAAATGAATATTTTTTTATAAAATACTATTGTTTATTTTTATCCGTAAATTACGCGCATTTATTGATAAAAATGAGATGTGAATAAGAGAAGCTATGAAAATAACATCACAAATCAAAATGTCTTTAAACCATGGATTTAATTGCACAAAGTCGATATATTATTAACCTCTAAGAAGGCATTATTGTGTTGTCATGGTTTTGAAATAGATTTTAATCGAGCTTCAGAAAACGCTTGAAACGGTTATTATGAGACGTATCTATTTTTACCACTTTGCGTTTGCTGCACGTGATTTGGCGCAAGACACGACTCTTGACAAGACTTGTCTTTTGACAGTTCAAGATGTGTATATTTTTATTATACATAACTCTCAAAACATTCTCTTAGAATACTACTCGAATTTCTTTACTATATTTTATATATCTTTTATATATATTTTATATCTTAATAGTTTTCACAAAAGTTCCTTTACTTGCTCTTGTAAATGCTTTGTAGCCTTCTGATTTATTCGAAATTAAAGAAGCATAAAACTGATTTTAATCTCAGAAATTGAGCATCACGTGCAGCTTTACGATATAACGTGACAATCTCGCATCCTGGCTTCGTATCGCGGATCCGGAATACAGGATACTGGAGATGCGTGAATGTGTGTGTATTCGTGCAAACGAAACGTATCATAGTGGTGGTGGTGGTGGTGCGATATACGCGCCTGTACCCTCCATAGGAGATCTTGACAGGTCGAGCCCTGGGTATAGCTACACGGCGGCTCGCTCGTATATCTCAACCCACGCAGAAACATTCGTTAGTAAGCGATCTCTAAAATGGATACCTTAATGTGGCTTTCGCAAACATTATTATTGCTCCGCGACTCAGCTTTTCCCCAGCTCTCTCGTCCGCGCAAATAGAACTACTTTATTCGCGTCTCTTCGTAGCCGCGTCGTCGCTCGACCTCATTTTATCTCGGCTTCAAAGAAGATTCTGCGTCGCATTAACCGATATAAGCCACGATGAACGCTTGGGAATTATCCACGTGGCGTTCTCGCAATTCAGACATATCTAAACTGTTCGCGTAGAGGAATTTATGCGTAAGGCACTGCGATGACAGCGGAGATTTGTGAAACGAAAATAGGAAAAACAATAGCGATTAACTACTAATCTTTTTACACGCTATTAAATAAGGCATATGCAATAAGATTAGAATGCATAAAAATTTATTTAAAACCTTCAAAAATTGACTAATCACAGTCGAACGTGAGGAAAAAAATTAACTATGATTGGATAACTTCTTCTGGCTTAAAGTTTAAGTTTTACGTCTTAAAATTTCATTGTCGACATTGCTTTTTTAGATTTAAAAAGAGCAATGATAATCCAATTCCTAAAGTTAAATAATCTTCTGTAATTTTTAACTTCCATGTGTGTCAAAACGTAAATTAGTCCATTTCTGGTTAATTTCAATATAAACAATATTAATATACGCCCTAATAAATAATAAATTAAATTTGAACCAAATTCAATACATTTTTTTTTTAATGAAATTATTTTATTCCAGTCTTTTATTTAGTTAAATTAATGATATATTGAATAGGAACAGTGACGACCTATAAAAATTATTAAAAATAAATTGTGTAATTATAATTTAATATTAATATAATTATATATATAATTATGTATATAATTATATATATAATTTAATATTAATTTAACAGTGCATTAAATCACGAAGCCGATTCTGTAAAGAATATCTTAATACTCTTATAGAAATCTAATAGTGGCCAATTTATTACCGAAAAATGATTAATAATTTATTTGGAATATTAAAAGCATTAAATAACAGTGCTTTTAATATTTCAAATAAGTATTTAATTATTGTTTTTAGTATTAAATAGGCCAAATTAAATTTATGTAAGAATATAACCTGACAGTTCGTACTTAAGATAGAAACGTTTAATCAATGTTCATTTGTTTTCTGAGAGCTTTAAAAGTGTATCAATATCAGTTTGCTTTCAATTCCGTGGATCGATCAGTCATATTGCGACAGTTCAAAAAGTTTACAGCAAGCAACGATAATGGGTAACGTAGAGCGATGAGATGAAAAGCAATGCGTCAGTTGACTAAGTTGTAACATAATATAAGATAAGAGATAAACTAAGAAAAGCTCTAAAGATGTAGAGAGAGATCCAAATATCTGTACATAGAAGTTCATATTGAAGTGACTTACGTATATAGTATTTCGGCGTACTATCGCGACTTCCAAGATCAATTCAATATTCTACAACGTCTAAACAGGAAAAAGCGGCATATGGCAGGACGAAGGGTGGAATCAGTTGACTGAACTGTAACAGAATGCAAACAGAGATAAGCTAACAATAGAAAAGAGAATCAAATGGATGAAAGGGGAAAGATTCTCAACAGAAATGTATATATATATATAT